TATGTCTTGTGAGCACCTCTGGTAGCTATATTTTGTGAGCACCTGTGGTAGCTATGTCTTGTGAGTCACTGGTAGCTATGTCTTGTGAGTCCTTGTGGTATTGAAGTCTTGTGAGTCACTGTGGTGGTTATGTCTTGTGAGCACCTCTGGTAGCTATATTTTGTGAGCACCTGTGGTAGCTATGTCTTGTGAGTCACTGGTAGCTATGTCTTGTGAGTCCTCAGTGATCTAGATTTTTAACAATCGTTGATGATACAACAATTAGGAATTTTCAGGCGGCACCCATTCCTGTTGTCAGTTTTGTTTGAGTTAGTACACAACTTAATTTACATAAAAAATAATACAACATGCTATTTCATTGATATCTTATATTTGTAGGAAGTCAGCATCAAACTCTTCAGGGCGATTTGAACTGAAGAAAGAGTCGTACCAAGAATATAGCAAGTACTTCTATCACTACAGCCGTGCTGAGCAATCTAAGGTAAAGTCACAAAATATAATAGATTTTCAATCTAAGGTACTGTAAAGTTAAAGTCACAAAATATAGTAGAATTTTAACCTTATCTTCTGTAAAGTAGAGAATATTTTTGATTTTCGATCTAAGGTCTGTTAAGTCGCAATATATAGTAGAATTCAGTATTAACTCCAGGAGTGTACAATACCACTAGCCCGGTGACTTAGGCTAGTTGATATTATATCAGGATTTGTGAAAATTTTCAACATTTACTGTGAAAATACTGGTGGGCTAGTAGAATTTTTCAAAATCTGCCTGTGGGATAATACTGTTCACCCCTGAAATCAATGTTCACAAAATGATAACTTAATACAATTAATTTCTTATCTTAAAGTACAAATGTATATAAAAAATATTTAGATGAGACAAACAAGATGAGACAAACAATATTTTGCTGTTTATTGTCCTAAACAACTGTTTTGTTCATACTTTCAGTCAGAGGAGGCCCAGATAGAGAGAAAGAAGCATGAAAATGAAGGTCAAGGTGAGTACTTGAGTGGACAATGCTTGGTTGATTTCAATATGTGTCGGTTATTTTTCTTAATAACATTTAATCCATATAAACAAAATATCCAGTAATGACCTGTCAAAGATATAATATGTTGCAATTGTTTGAAACATTAGAATAGTTTGTTCCTGTTTGATATGTTGATCACATTTAAAATTGTAAAAAACAACTTGCAAGAAAAAGGAGGGAATGACTCTGATAGGAATTGTGTACATAGAAAACATGTCAAAATGATTGCTTCAGCCCTGCCACCTCCAGTCCCCCAGGAATTTAAGCAGAACTTTCAGCCTATTACCAACCTTCTTCAGTGCGACTTAATGCTGTACTTGATGCACCTGTTACTGCAGAGGACAGCTGCCAAACGGTCAAGATCTTGGTCAGAGGGACAGCTGGACAGGGTAAAATCTTGTATATCTAAAAGAGTGAAAATCTACCTGTAGATATATTGTATGAAACTTAATGTTATCCTGCCAAAGTTCTGGTAATGTCTGTGTTTAAATAGCTTCCCATTCTTGAGAAAGTCTGTGAATACAAGATGTTTCTCCATTTAAGGTGATAAATCTATGATCCATTCCACTATACTGGAGATCATCTGTATCAGAATGTGTTTTTCATGATAAAAGAGATTCTTTAGATTTCTGGTTGTCTGAAGTTGAATACATTGTGCTGATTTCAGATCTTATATATCATTGGTCTGGCCCTGTTGGAACAGAGGAGAGCTATCACCGAGGGAGACAACTCATTCAACTTCTTGTCCAAAGCCCTTGATGGTAAGCTATCATATCTCTCCCGTTACCTAGGCCTGTAGATGTAGGTGGGGGATGTGGGAATTGTTGTTACCTTGCGATGAAAAAATTGAATGTATCATAAATCACATGTGGTCACATTTTATAAGAAAACATACATTTTCATAAAAAGTTCTAGTACTGCTCATGTTCTTTTCAAAGTAAAATGTGAAAGAAAACATAATTATCTTTTGCAATTGTATATGATTGAGAGAAAAATGCTCCCATATGTATTATTAGTCTGATTCTAATCTATTGGGGGGAGGGAGTGAGGGAGGGGGGGATATCCTTCCACAAGCACCTAGATGTAGTCTTTTAATCTACTGTGTCTGAATCACTGTTAGATATACCTGTAATTGGATGGCACAGTTGATAGGGCAGACGTCTTTCACCAAGACGGCCAGGGTTCAGTTCCCTGATTGAACGTGAAAAGACATGGGGTCACCTGCTCAACCAGGTGGATTTTCTCCGAGTACTCCGGTTTCCTCCCATTTCTGACAGATGTCTGTCCATCGGGCTGTCCGTCTGACTTTCCATGCATAAAACCTTGCCTGGACAATTCTTAAACTGATAAGCCAATTTCAACAACTGCTATCTACTATGACCTCTGATTGGCTGAGACAGTAATGGTTATAACTCAGGTTCTATTAGCAAATTAGTATACCTGTGGCTTACAGTTCTAGCTTAAAATGTAGGCTGTCGGGGAAAACCATTTGTAACGATAGGTTCACAGGCATAACAAAATAAACCAAAGTGATTATCTTTGAAAAGTTTCTGTCCTGTACATTTAATTGTTTTGCATTTACCTTACAGATGAAAAGAACATAATGAGCATAATGGAAGGACTGGTTGGCAGTGCCAATTTGACCCATGAATCAACCAAAGATCTTCTAACATGGACACTTAAGGTAGGCACAGCACATTGTATAGATTTTAAACATTTGACTTTTTTATATGTTAGGGTTTAACATCTTCACAACCACCAGAGTCATATACAGTGCCTGAGGAGACATCACCTAAAGGTAAAATATTTGCTTAAGTAGAAGACACATCAGGAAACCTCCCATTCTGCCAGAGCCCCACATTAGAAGCCTCTTATGATACACATGCAGTGGAATACATAGGTCAATGTTTGGGTTTCTGTAATGTCCCCTAAGCATGAGACAATGGAGGTGGTAAACTGGTATGAAAATGATCAAGATAGATTACAACATGAAGAAACTAGTAACCAGTACAATAGCATATAAACGAAACGATGTGTAGAAAGACCAGACAAATAGTACAGTTTGTTTGTATTGTTCTAATTCAGCTATTTTTGGAAGTGCGTAAAATGAAAAATGACCCCGTCAGTATGGACACATTAGACCAACTCTCCAGTTGTACCAACCAAAATCATGATGAAACAAAGAAACTGAAGGCCAAGATGGCTGCCAAACGACGTGCAAAAATCATGGCGCAGATGTCAACAATGCAGAAAAACTTTATCAAAGAAAATGCCGAGTTATTCCAGAGTGCTGAAGCTGAACTGAGTCGGACATCATCTGATATGGACATTAGGTAAGTTGTAGGCAAGGGATGTGGTCATAGTTCTGTGACTGCATTAAACGTGTATATTTTATTATGTTAAATGCATATTATTTACTTTATTTCATGTAAGGCAAAATACCATACATGTTGTGACCTCCTGCATGGGGAGGGGGTTGTGTGTTCCCTGTGTATTATGTCACTGATTACGTATTAATCTGACACTGACCTCTAGAATGTAGATTCCCTGTGTACTATGTTTCTGTTCTGTTGACAGTGATCTCCAGAGTGGAGGCTTCCCCGTGGCTCTGGGAAAGAAGAGGAGTAAGGTGGTCAGTCCTGTTCCCTGTAAAGGAATGTGTATTTTGTGTCAGGAAGAACAGGAAATCAAACACAGTGGCCGTGCAATGGTCCTGGCAGCATTCGTACAGAGGTACTAGAAATGTAGTGTTGATCTCATCTCCAATATACAATTAAATTTTCTTCTTTAATTATTTATATATACATGTACTTAAATTTCACATTTTGTTTTGTTTATTACCAGTATTTATTATGCAAAATTCAACTTAGGAAAAACTCCTCAAAAATGTCTAATAAAAAATCATTACAAATAAAAATTTGGATTGATAGAATAAAGTTTTATACCTAAAAAAGTAAATGCATTGATTAGGATTTTAAAGATTCCCATTATGATTTCAGATAATGAAGTTAAAAGTTTTGCTCTCATAAAAACATCAAAGACAACTTGACAAATGTTCAACCTGCTGAAAGTATGTGGTAACAATTTGGTTACCTATCGCCTTCTATTTTAGGTCTACGGTGCTATCCCAGTGTCGGAGTAAGGTTATATCTAAGGAAGACAACCATGACTACCTGTTCAGTCCTTCTGATCTCACTACAGGCACTTACACTAGCTCCTGTGGCCATGTGATGCATTTTGACTGTTGGCAGAGGTAAGGTTATACAAAAGTAATGGAGTGGGTGAGTCTCTATAAGAATCATTAGGTACAAGCTTTGTTATCCTCCCAACTAAGTTACAGAGGGGACATAAGGTTCTGCCAAATGTATTTCCATGTGTCTAACTTTTAATATCGTAACTTCTCTGAGGATTTTATTAGTTTAATGTAAGACAGTACCTATGATGCTGCATTAAAGGTCACGATTTATATTAATATCATGAAATTTTGTTCTCATATGGACAACTTTATTATCCCCAGCTTTCACCGTGGGTTTGTTCGTCAGTCAGTCTGTCTGTCTGTCACGCTTTTTTTCCGTGCAATAACTGCAACAAATGTGAACCGATTTTCTTCAAACTTGGTAACAAGGTTAAATGCTTTAAGGGCTCTGCCAAGTTCGATAGCCAAACTCTTTCAAACTTGATAACAATGTTTGTGTTCCTCTGTCTTTCCATCCATCTTAGCCACTCTTTGATTTTCGTGTGATAACTGCTGTAGATATTGTGCAGATATTTCAACCAAATTCCGTATGCACATCTGACTCATGGGAAGTTGTCCAAACGATGTGATTTGTGCATATTTAAGGATAATTAATGAGGTTAGTAAATTATGATGGATTTAACAATTAATTTACACCGTAATACCTACATGTTCAATAAAAAGTCTAACTTCTGTATAAGACTTTTTTTTCTTCGAGTTTCAAGCTATACATTAATATTATGTCTCAACAATACGATACTCACATGTTTAAACCTAACCTCAATAATATTTACATACAATATGTCCTGCAAGCAAAATGGATATCCATATGATCATGAACCCCTTACAAGAGTTAGGAATGGAAATACCTCCAGTTAATTAGTGTCAGTGGATTCATATAATACTTAATGCCTTGCTTTATATCTTCCTGTTTTCAATACACGTACCAGAATACTTCTGTAGAGGCTATTTGAAGGTTGCCGCAACCTGTTGATCACCATAAGTGATTGGTTGAATTTGCACCCATCAAAATACATAAGTTTTGAAGAATTATGCCTCATGAGGGATATATGTGATATTCAAAGGGAAATTCTAAAATATATTTTTTTGGACTCCAAAGCATCCAGACATTTGACATTTCGATTCCTTTCACATTCCTGTCAAGTAAAGAAAGGACATGGTATGATATGGTGTTGTCCATCCATCGGTTACCTTCTTGTCGGAACATGTCTTATAGTTTTCATCCGATTCCCTTAAAACAAGCTGGAGTATACTTCCATCATTTATCGCTACTGTTGTGCCAATATATCATTGGTTCAATAACCCATTATTTTGACCGAAAATGCAAGGACAGGCATATTTTGTTACTTGTGCGCTACTCTGTTAATTGGTTGTAACTTTATGTATCATTTTTATTTAGCAGGCAACTTGTACAAATTTTTATATATATGTCAACTTGTACAGGTTTTTCGATGCCGTGGTGATGAAGGAGAGGAGGCGGCCAATACGGTTCCGTTCCAACCTGAGTTATAACATCGACCAGAATGAGTTCCTGTGCCCTCTCTGTGAAAGTATAAGCAACACTGTGATACCTGTTGTTCCTTCTCTACCTTCTCTTATCCAAGACAGGTATGTATACAGTACTGTATGTATACAATGCTATATGTATACAATACCATATGTACACAGTAATAGATGTACACAATGCTATATGTATACGCTATATGTATACAATGCTATATGTATACAATACTATATGTACACAGTAATAGATGTACACAATACTATATGTATACGCTATATGTATACAATACTATATGTACACAGTAATATAGGTACACAATACTATATGTATACAATAACATATGTATACAATGCTATATGTATACAATGCCTTATGTATACAATGCCATATGTATACAATGCTATATGTATACAATACTATATGTACACAGTAATATAGGTACACAATACTATATGTATACAATAACATATGTACACAGTAATATAGGTACACAATACTATATGTATACAATGCTATATGTATACAATGCTATATGTATACAATACCATATGTACACTATGCTATATGTACATAGTAATATAGGTACACAATATTTTATGTATAAAATAACATATGTACACAGTAATATAGGTACACAATACTATATGTATACAATGCTATATGTATACAATACTATATGTACACAGTAATATAGGTACACAATACTTTATGTATACAATGCTATATGTATACAATGCTATATGTATACAATACCATATGTACACTATGCTATATGTACATAGTAATATAGGTACACAATATTTTATGTATAAAATAACATATGTACACAGTAATATAGGTACACAATACTATATGTATACAATGCTATATGTATACAATACTATATGTACACAGTAATATAGGTACACAATACTTTATGTATACAATAACATATGTACACAGTAATATAGGTACACAATACTATATGGAAATTACAGCCAGTCTTCCCTTCAGTACAAATGAAAAAGATTCAACAACATACAAAAGCAATGTTTACTGTAATATATTGTTTTGTGTTTTTTGGAAATGAGTATTACATTTACCAAAAGAGTAGGCAATGTGACAGACAATAAAATCTGTAAGTGTTCTATATAAGCTCCTTGAATTACAATGTGTAATTTCCTTTTGTTTGTAAATATTTGTTGGATCATCAATATATCAATATTATCAGCATATCATTTATGCACATGTGTTTTAACATTTGTAAAGGAATAGAAATATTTATTGTTAAAAAAACATTTATTTAATTATTTGAAAATAAATTGTTGATAGCTTTAATGATATATTTATTTTGTCATTTAATTTTTCCAAATCAATCTGAGGTAATTTTTGTACCTGGTGTTACAGCAATAAAGATAATGTAAACCTGACATTCAATGACTGGCTGGACGGTCTACATAAATCTGTTCAAAGTAGTAGAAAGGACAAGGAGGACAAGGAGGCCAAAGGTAAGGTCAACAATAAGGTCATAGGCCATAAATAAATCAGAGACTAAGAGAAAGGTCATAAGTCATTTATAAGGTCATAGGCCATAGATAAAACAGACTAAGAGAAAGGTCATAGGTCATTTATAAGGTCATAGGCAACACGTGAGATTGTAATGAGGTCACAGGAAAAGGTCAATGGTAAGTTGTATGTCTATGATTAGGTAATAAATTGAAGTCAAAGGTAACAGTAAAATCAGGAGTCAGAAGTTGGGTCAAAGGTCGGTTGGGAGATCTTGCAAGGAAAGTATAATCAGTGGCCAGAATGTGAGGTCATAGGTCAGTGATTTTCAAATATCAATGGCCAAAGCTAGGATAAAAGGTCAAGAATATGTTCACCAGGTAAGGTCGGTTAAAGGTCACAGCTAAGGTTACCAATCATAATGAAGACCAAAAGTAAGATTATAGGATAAAGATCAGGTCAGCTTCATGTACCATACAACTTAAATAAATTGATAGATAAAAAAGTGATTATGATATTTATTAATTAATGGATTCAGAGGTTTATGTTCAGGGCTAAAATAGAAAAATATACCAATAGAAAGGGAGAACAAGAAAAAGACGTTATTCGGTATGCTGCTGGTCAATCGGTAGAATTTGAAGTCAGAACCTTAGTTCTACAGCCTAGGGTAGAATTTCCCTTACTATATAAATATGGACTTTCTATCTCACCTCTTACTTGGCATTTTGATAAATATTGTTGTTGAGATTACAAATGCTGTAATAAATACAGTAGATTTTCTAAATAATGTACAAACTACTTTGGTAAATAAGAAAATATAAAAAAGGGTAAAAAAGATGGTATGCTACATGTATAAACCTACAAAATAAAGTTGTAAGCAAACGTTTCACAGCAAGCATGCCTAATACTTGTTAGCTCACCTGGTCCAAAGGGGGCAATTTGGCTATATTGCTTTAAGCGACTTCTTCTCTGGAACTAAGTGATGGATATCAACCATATTTGACTGGAAGCATCCCTAGGTAGTGGAAATTCAAAATTGTACAAATGGTGGGGCTGACCCCCCAGGGGGCTGAGGGGCGGGGCCAAAAGGGGGCAAATTGGCTATATTGCTACAAACGACTTCTTCTGTAGAACTATGCACTGATTATAAATCATATTTGATCAAAAGCATTCATAGGAGGCAGGGTTTCAAAATTGTACAAATGGTGTGGCTGACCCCACAAGGGGGCTGAGGGACAGGGCCAAAAAGGGTTATTTGGCTATATTGCTTTAAGTGACTCCTTTGGAACTAAGAGATGGATATCAACCATATTTGACTGGAACCATCCCTAGGTGGTGGGGATTCAAAAATGTACAAATGGTGGGGCTGACCCCTCAGGGGGCTGAGGACGGGGCTAAAGGGGGCAATTTGGCTATATTGCTATAAACGACTTCTTCTTTAGAACTAAGCCATGGATAACGATCATATTTGGTCGGAAGCATTCATGTGAGGCAGGGATTCAAAATTGTACAAATGGTGGGGCTGCCCCCCCGGGCTAAGGGGTGGGGCCAAAAAAAGTTCATTACTTGGAAATGGTTGAGATCCCCACCGTATAACCATATATACAATTGCTGAGTATAAAGAGAAGAATGCACATTTGCTTTCAGGATGGCTCTAGTGTCTGGCCCCACCCTTGGAGACATAGTCCCTGGGTCATAACTTTGAAATGGTTAAGATCCCCACCCCAAAACTATATATACAAATGCTGGGCAAAAAACCCTGAATGCAGTCATGATATTAGAATTGATCCTGGGATGTGAAAAATCTAATACAGATATGCTACAAGGATTGGCCTTGGGGTCTGGCATATTCCCTTGGATCTCATTTGGAGAATATTTTGTCATGATTGCTGAGATATCCAGGTGAGCGATACAGGCCCTCTGGGCCTCTTGTTTATTAGTCCCCTACCGGTGAAACCGGGGGGACTATAGGTTTCCTCTCTGTCTGTCTGTGTACGTACGTAACACCAATGTTTGTTAGCGCTCTAGCGACTTCATTCCTTGAGGGATTTTGATCAAACTTCACACAATTACAAAGGTCCATAATATCGCGGAGAAGTTTGAGTTTCAGGGTTGTTGGGTCAAGGTCAAGGTCACCGTAACTATTTTTAGAAAATCCATTGTCAGCACTCTAGTGGCTTCATTCCTTGAGGGATGTTTATCAAACTTCACACAACTACAAAGAACCATAATATTTGGGACAAGTTTGAGTTTCAGGGTTGTAAAGTTGAGGTCAAGGCCACCGTTACTATTAATACAGAATCCTTGACAAGTTGAAGCCAGTGATAGACTGATGATCGATATATAATAATCGAACATTGATCGATTTGTCCTGTTCGATTCCGATTATCGATAACAAATTCCATAATCGATATAATCGGTTCATTACTGAACTTAAAATGTCAAATGTGTATGTAATACAGTTTACATGGAAATTCATTTATTCTGATTTTTTTTTACAATCTGATTGATGGTAATGTAGAATAGAAAAATTACATTAAATTCAGGACAAGCTTATTGTATACTTTTCATTTTCCCAAATAAACACCAAAGGGCACCATTTTTATAAATCTTTACAGTGTAATAGTTAACGGGGGCCGGTAGGGGACATGTATTGCTTTAGCAATATTCAGTATGCTTGTTTCACTGAGGCAATGTCAGTTGTCAACTGTTTGGTGGTACAGCATAAGAATTCTTCTGCTGATCTGATCACTAGACATCAGCCGAAATGTTATTAAAGTTTGCTAATCTCTCCACAGACATGGTCGCCTATGAGTTTGAGCCTTCTCCTCTACATGCAATAACCAAGATGATGGCTGAGAGTGTGGCCATTAACTTCAAGCTTCTGTGGCAGACGTTCCAAAACGACAGGTAACACTAACATAACGGTGACAATCCAGTAGGAGGATTGTCTGTGAGTCAGCTTACCAATACGAGACAGTGTCTTAAGGCTGTGGATGATATTTGATCTTATTCATATCACATGTTGTCAGCATTGGTTATTAAACCAGATAATTAACAGTTAAACTGGATTTCACCCTACAGATAAATTAACTGTTTTAATCCATAACTTTACAACACATTTTTAATCCATAATGATACAGTAATTTTAATCCATAACTTTATGAGTTATTTTTAATCGATACTGTTTAATTATGCTAGTAATTTCATCATCAGGATGTCTGTTTGTCTGTCCACAATAAAAAGCTTATGTACAAGATATTTCATTAACCCTCAAAAAGTTTATTTTAACTATAGTAAAGTAACACTGAGTTATATAATTGATTAAATTGGAGGTCATCAGTCAAGACAAAATTATCAAAGGTTACAATTGACCACTTCTGAAATAAAAAAAAATGTATACCAAATGTCTCCTGGACCCTCAACAGATTTTATTTTTGTTTAGACCATATCATGGTAACATCTACACCTAGTTATATTGTTGATGGTCATTAGTCAAGGTGAAAGGGTCAAAGGTCACACTTGACCACATCGGAGATAAAAAGCTTGACAGGATATATTTCGCAGACCCCTCAACAGATTTAATTTATATTTACACCGTAGTATGGTAACATGAAGTTCTATACCTGATTAGAATTTAGTTTGTCACCAGTCAAGTGAAAGGTTGACATTTTTGAGGGGAGGGGGGGTATACCTATGACAGCAACCATTCACTTTGTTTTTATCTTTAATATTGACGTTATATTGTAAATCACTTATTTTCGAGAGATTGATTTTTAGTCACCCCTGGGGGAACCCCAGCGGGGACAATTAATTTTGGTTTCAGTCCCAGATTTTGACCTCCACTGTTTCAGCTTTCGTGCTTTTGCATCTGTCGCTAATTACAAGCTTTTGGATAACTCCGATATCGATTTTAGGAATAGATCTATACAACCAAAAGGCGTTCCGAATTTCAAACTAAAGATGTTCCTAATATGAATCAGTCACCTTTGAGGTTACCGAAGGGGTAGACTGTTATATTATATATTGCTATTGATTGATTGAGATGTTTATGTCTGACCAATGACTATATTGGTAAAATTTCTTTTTAAACCAAATTAAATTTTGGAATAAAAATTGCAGGTAGAAAAGCTCAATAACGTCTCTTTTTCTTTATCATGACAAAAGAAAACGTCACCTAGCAAAAGGGCACACTACATTAAAGCATACGCGCAATTTGGCGGACACAAACAACATTTTGTATCGCTTTGCATTTCTCTGCAGTCCGGCGAAACTTCTAATCGAACGGCAGGTGCCGAACATGCGGGATTTAAGGGACATTCGTAATCAGTAGGAAGGTGCCGCCTTCCCGGCGGTAAACGGCACGCCTGAATCAAGTGCGTCCAAAGTAAAAAGTTTACGACATTTATGGAAATTGTTTTATTTTTTAAATTTACATACCATTTTCCGCCGTCACATTATAATTTCAAATGGTGATATGTTATAAATAAATGCGCTATCATTCAAACAAATATTTCATCAACATTCATATCCCGCCTGACAACGTTTACAACTTTAGGACACTTTACAACATAACACGTTACGGCAGAACTTGAAATGGAAAACCGGAAGAGTGCAGGGTCATGTAAGGTAAGTAGAACATTGCCATATTCAGAATTTATAATAAAAGCGCTCGACACCGTTTAATGTTATCGTTTCTGCGGTGTGGTGGCAGTGGTGACCTCGAGGTACCGGCAAAACATGGTATTGACATTGTATTCATTTTGAGCAAGATAAAAAGTGTATTAAGCAAAACTGCATATTTATGCATGTTTTTTAATCGGTGATTAATTCTTATGTTTTCCGGACGAAGTTCCGGTAATTTTTGTGTCAGTTTACAGACGATGGCCAAACGTCTAAAATATCTTTGTGTTGTGTCCAGCAGGTCACATAGTAACGAGATAAAGCTTGATAAAATGGCTGCGCGGAAATATATAACGGGCGGAAACCAATGACTAGACGATATTGACAGTTTTACAAACAAATAATTTTTACTGAGAAGTATCAACTGATAATATGGAGTTAAATAACCACGAAAACAATACCAGTACAAACTAGTGATAGGGATTGGAAATTCCTTAATTATCAGCCTTTAGTTTTGGTGAAAATGATTTGCTCCAGTATGCATGTTCAGTTCTCTTATATCATTTTTTTTTCATTTTAACAGATGAACTATCTTATCCTGGCACTTTGGCATGTTTGAATGTGGAAGGCCTTGAAATTAGGGTGAAGAAGGCCAGGGAATGTCACAGAAATAAAAAAAAAAAATGAAATTATTTGCAGTGTTTGTTTTTTATGGTCATAAAACATGGAACATTTGCTTCAAGTAAATCAACCACATGCTTTCTTATTATATCCTAGTAGGTTGGCATGGTTACCTAAACAGCGTGTATGCATACCTGGTCATTGTTAGACCATTTTGATTGACAGGAGGAAATATGTCAGTTGTAGCTTGGTCAATGATTTATTATACTGAAATAATCATACAGGAGATGGGGTGACTTTCATGTCATTTTGACATATTTCTAGTTTAACATAATAATTTGCACAGAAACTCTTTCACAAAATTTGATTTTTAGCAAATATTTAATCTACAGAGATAATACAGTCGTACTGTCTATTTTGAAATAAATGTGCTGAATACAATTATTTGTGATTAGAATCTAAAGACATATGTTGTGAAATAGAATATTCTTAAAATAAAGTAATTCATAATGAATTTGTGTTGTATCCATTATCTTGTTAGTAATTGGGCTATATTTTGTGTTTCAGTACCCTATTTGCTCAAAGTTTGACTGATATGGTGAAGAAGTTTGGCAGGGATGTCTACTCGGTACTTATATCTAACCATCTGTACTGTCATAAACACATCTTAATTGAAATTATTGTGTGAAGTCAAGATCTGAAAACTTAGTTATCTTCGGAAATTTTTAGAAAATGTAGAAGTATTGTATATACTGGTACAATTACAAAGCACAGAAAATATTGTATTATATACATTGTATACATCTAAACTGTAAAAAATATCTTATTGTAATCATACCTTATTGATGTGATATACCGGGTACTCATTTATAATGTAAATATTGTGTTTAAGTATTAAACTGCTATCTTACTTTATAAAGTTAAAAAAATAAAATAGGAAAGAGTTATTGAGAAAGAAACTTCTGATAATCTGAACTTTTACTGAAATAAATATGTAGAAAATACCATTCAATGCATGCCTGTAAAACTGAATAGGAAGTTATTGTAAACATGTATCAACATCTATCAGCTATTTGTTATATGTGTGTGTGAACTGGTTTCAGTTTGGTTTGAATGTGGAACCTGATGATGGAAATGTGAGAGTACCTCTCATAGCTTGGTCATCTTGTGCCTTCACTTTACAGTCCATAGGTAAGTACTGACCTTACATCATTATTCGGGCCCTGTGGTGCCTTATAGTAATCAGCCTGTCCGTCTGTCAGTCTGTCATTTTTATACGTCCTCCAAAGACAGCAATCTATTATGTTATCACCTGAGCAGGCAGACAGGTTGGCACACATGGTGTCCGCTCGATATCTTGAGTGATTTTCAACCAATTAAATTCAAACTTCATTGGAAGGTTAATTAGCATAAGAGCTCGGACATGTTCGATAACCACCATTATCCGACTGTTACTAATTGAGTTATGCCCCTTTGAACAAATGCTGAAATGGTGTCTGTTGGATATCTCACGTAATTTTCTACAGATTAACTTCAAACTTCATAGAAATATCATTTACCATGAGAGCTTGAAAAAGTTTGAGAACAACCATTATCTGACTAATTTACTGAGTTATGTCCCTTTAATCAGTTGCTGAAACTGTCCACTCGATATCTCGAGTAATGTCAATGGATTCAAATCAAACTTCATGGGAAGGTTAATTACCATGAAAGCTTGGAGAAGTTCACTAACCACCATTATCTGACTGTAATTTACAGAGTTATGCCCCTTTAATGAATTGCTGAAACAGTGTTCGCACAATATCGAGATTAATTTTCAACGGATTAACTTCAAACTTCATAGGAAGGTCAATAACCATGAGAGCTCGGTTGGATAACCACCATTATCCCACTTATTTATACAGTTATACCCCCTGAATTAGTGGTGTGCATGTAATCACTTTTATCTGACCTTTAATTGATAGACTTATTCCTCTTGGTTTCATTCATACAGTACTACATGCATTCCAAGATGATTTTTTGCACTCATTGATCTAAAAGGTTGAATTATTTCATATTTTTCAATGATGCAAACAGCTGGTCATTCAACGTATGACGGGCGTATTATATACCGCTTTGTGGTAACCTTGTCGTTTTTGGTGTGATATTTTATGAAGGAAAGGTAAGAATTTGATCAAACTTTGCTGATGTAGTTCTTGTCCAAGTCACTCCCTCAGGTTTGACAATGAGCAATTTCTATACATATTTAATGAGGATGCTGCATTCTGATTGGCTGATTTATATCTGCAGGATATCTACTGAAGGAATCATATTGTTTTTATCCAATTTGCTTGATATACTTAAATGAAAGATTATTTAGAGGATATTTAATGAATCTGCTTCATTCTGATTGGTTGATTGCTTTCCGCACAATAATTTTGACAGAATGGTCAAATTTTGATACATCTTGCTTGGTATACGTAGTTATCTAAGATTCTCACTGGGGTTTCATGTTCAAATATTCCATGCATGTTGAATGAGGCTTCTGCATTCTGATTGGTTGATTGCTTTGTGTACAATATTTTATGACTACATTTTTATTTAACTTGCTTGGTATACTACTTACTCAAGTGATTAATTTTAAAACAATGATTAAAAATGTGAAATACTTTAATTAGGGCCCAATACAAAATGCAGGTGCCCTTTATAGTAATCACGGTGTCCATTCGTCTGTCAGTACTTTTGTTTCCAACATTATCTCATGATTCACATGGTGATACACTGTGATGTGCAGATGTGCAATAGTGGTTTAAAAAATTCCTAAGGTCAAGATCGCTGTTACTAAAAAACCAGAAACAGGTATATAATGTCAAAAATATGTCGGATAAGGCCCTTACAAAAGGCCAAATTTTCTGAAATTTCTCATGATGATACACGTTAATTATATGTGCAATAGTGATTTAAATAATTCTTAAGGTCAAAGTTGCTGTTACTAAAAACAGAAATGGGAATATACTGTCAAAAATACATCATATAAGGCCATCTTACAGAAGGCCAAATTTTCTGAAATTTTACAAGATGGTACATATGCAATAGGGCTTTAAAGCCTTCGGAGATCAATGTTGCCGTTACTTTGAAATAGAACAGGACATGTACTGTCAAAAATGTATTGTAAAATGTCCTTTCTGAACAGTCAATGATCACTTTTGCTTTTGCTTGGTGCTTATACGGGGGATACACTGCCAGGTATACAGCGAGGGCCCTTGCTGACCTGTCAGTATTATATACGGGAGATACACTGCCAGGCATACAGCTGGGCCCTTGCTGACATGTCAGTATTCTATACGGGGGATACACTGTTAGGCATACAGCAGGGCCCTTGCTGACATGTTAGTATTCTATACGGGGGATACACTGCAAGGCATACAGTGAGGGCCCTTGCTGAACTGTCAGTATTCTATACGGGAGATACCCTGCCAGGCATACAGCGGGGCCCTTGCTGACATGTCAGTATTCTATACAGGGGATACACTGTCAGGCATACAGCAGGGCCCTTGCTGACATGTCAGTATTCTATACGGGGGATACACTGCCAGGCATACAGTGAGGGCCCTTGCTGACCTGTCAGTATTCTATACGGGAGATACACTGCCAGGCATACAGCGGGGCCCTTGCTGACATGTCAGTATTCTATACGAGGGATACACTGTCAGGCATACAGTGGGACCCTTGCTGACATATCAGTATTCTATACGGGAGATACACTGTCAGGCATACAGTGGGGCCCTTGCTGACATGTCAGTATTCTATACGAGGGATCCACTGTCAGGCATACAGTGGGACCCTTGCTGACATATCAGTATTATATACGGGAGATACACTGTCAGGCATACAGTGGGACCCTTGCTGACATATCAGTATTCTATACGGGGGATACACTGTCAGGCATACAGCAGGGCCCTTGCTGACCTGTCATTTTTCTAGTTTATAATTGATACTAATGAATTCATTTTGTTTCAAATTAAGGAAAAAAGCATACTTGCATAAAGAAGTGATGAAGATGTTAGCAAGTTAAGTGTTTGTTAATTGCCACTATAAGCCATGTTATTTGTGTCTCCGACAGAACAACAGCTCAACATGGAAGAGAAACCCCTGTTTGGATCACTGTCCTCACGCCAGTCTGACTGCCTCGCCTCTCTTATCAAGTTCGCCTGTGTCTTCAGTCAAGTGATCCCTCAGGACCTAGTCAAGCAGCACTGCCTACGACTGCTTTCTGGTAGGCGCCTATCTAAATCTGTTGAAAAAAGGTTTGGTTTCTGAATTGTAATTTTTAAGAAATATATAGGTTAGTCATAAATTAGGTTCTTGATTTTATCTCTTCACTATGACTTCCATCATTTTTGTGTCGCCTACGACGGATGTCGGAAAGACACATAGGCGTTGCTTTTCTGACGGCGGCGTCAACAATGTTAAGGTTTTGCGTTTAGCTCTGTTTCTGACAAAGCTACACCAACAAAACCTCGATCATAGATGTAGCATGGGTAGTGGAGCCTACTGCACTAAAAACATTTCATTGATCTCTGCATTTTTTTGGTAAAAACCTCAAATGTCTGGACTTAGAAAAAACCCACCAATGTTATGTTTTTGCGTTTATGTCCGTTTCCTTATGTACTATGTCAAATGCTTATTATATTGAAAAAGCGGGACAGGCGACACATATAATTACGCGTAATTCTTGTTCATTTGTCAACTGTGTTATTACAGCTCTAATGCCTGAGAAAGAGAAGAAAAGGAAGGATGGCCAGAGTTTACTGGACATTGACATGTTTGACTACCTGCTGACCTTGACTGTGACCTTGCCGTCACTGTATGCAGATAGTCGGGTTCCTTCTATGAGTTCTATACCTACAGGCGGGCTGGGGGATCATCACACCCTCCAGCTGGTGCTGACTGCTCATATAGTCCAGATAATGCTCACCTGTGATATACCCTCTCAAGGTACAGTGCCGATCAGTGACAAAAGGATTTGCTGTTCTCTTGGACAGATAATAGGATGCAAATTGATGAAAGAAAAAGATAAACTTAATATTAAAAAGAAATTTGAATATTTTTCAGGTTGTATGATAGAAGAATCTCACTTCCACTCTAGAATGATTTGCTTTTTATATAACTTGTTAAGAATATGTTTGAAAAGCTTGCAATTTTGAAAAATTACATTCTAGTCTAGATCATTTAGTTATGTAACTTCAAACTTGTTTTTGTGTTGAGTAGGAATGATGGAGATAGAAGCTGATAGCGAAGGTGAAGCCTTACTCAGGATCTACACTCATATCAGGAAAGAGGCTAAGTAAGTACTCCACACATACAAGGCTAGATAAATACCCCACTCATACAAGGCTAAGTAAGTACTCCCACTCATACAAGGCTAAGTAAGTACTCCACGCATACAAGGCTAAGTAAGTACTCCACTCATACAAGGCTTAGTAAGTACCCACACTCATACAAGGCTTAGTAAGTACCCCCAATTATACAAGGCTAAGTAAGTACTCCACTCATACAAGGCTAAGTAAGTATTCCACACATACAAGGCTGAGTAAGTACTCCACGCATACAAGGCTAAGGAGGCACCCAACTCATACAAGGCTAAGTAATTATCTCGTAGAAAACTAAGTAGATTCCTCATTCAAATAATACCTCAATCATACACAGCTAAGTAAATGTTTCACAAATACAAATCTAAAAGTGAAGTACCTCACTCATACAAGACTAAGTATCTCACTCGTAAAAGCCTACCAAACGACTGTATAAATAGGCAAAAGAGCTTTATGAGGTTATATGTAGGTTTTGTGCTTAATAAATTGGATATTTAAGAGATACAGGGGAGTCTTTAATATTGTGTATAGTGCTGTATTATTTCTGTCATAGGATGGAAGGAGAGAACCAACCTCAACCCTGGCAACTCAGCCAGTACCTACGGAAAGCATGTCTGCCATTCCTGCGATGTGCAGCCCTACTGTATCGACAGATCACAGAGGTACCAGCTCCCAGCAGTCTTCAAGGTAAACAAATTAACACTAGACAGTATAGATATAATTATGTGTACTGAGGGTCTACAAGATAAATCCTTACACTGGTATGAGTGCTATAAGCACTGAGGGTCTACAAGATTAATCCTTATACTGGTATGAGTGCTATAAGCACTGAGGGTCTACAAGGCAAATTCTTACACTGGTATGAGTGATAAAAGTACTGAGAGTCTAAAAAGTAAATCCTTACACTGTTATGAGTGCTATAAGTACTGGGGGGCTACAAGATTAATCCTTATACTGGTATGAGTGCTATAAGTTCTGAGGGTCTACAAGGTAAATTCTTACACTGGAATGAGTGCTATAAGGACTGAGGGTCTACAAGGAAAATTCTTACACTGGTATGACTCCTATAAGTACTGAGGGTCTACAAGGTAAATCCTTACACTGGTATGCTTGCTATAAGTACTGAGGGTCTACAAGGTAAATCCTTACACTGGTATGCTTGCTATAAGTACTGAGGGTCTACAAGGTAAATCCTTACACTGGTATGATTGCTATAAGTACCGAGGGTCTACAAGGTCATTTCTTTCACTGAGTTAGTGGTTATTTGTACTGACTGTCTACAAGATAAACCCTTTTCACTTGTATAATAGTTATAAGTATCAACAGATCACACAGGTCACACGTCAGCACCAGGGCATCTTGTATTCAGAGAAAGTTAATGTTTTTATATCATTTCTCATTGCAAGTAAAACCTAAAAATTAGGTTTCTACTGAACTAATTTGTACCTAAATTGTGATATTATAGAGTTGGAGGATGATGAGTTTGAGCCACTCTGTCGTTACCTGGCTCTCCCTCAACACTTGTCTACGCTGTTTGAAAGTCAGGGAGATATCATCAACAGCTTGGTCAAACAGTAAGTATGAACCTAACAGTTTGGGGCTAACAGCACTTTATAAATTTGCAGACTCAATTGTACTGATATATGTACATGAAGATATCTACCACATCTATCATTTTACCTACTAGATTTGTATACTATCAAACAAAAGATTACCATTTTGTCTTTTAACTGTACAAAACTGAAACATTCTTAATTGCAAAGAAAAAATATGAAATAGTTTGTGAAGTATCCCCCATACCCCTTATCTACAACGTTCATCCTGGTAGAATCCATGTGGCAGGTCTATCTACTTTTAAATTGAATTAGACTAGTACAAAAATCTAGAAACACCCTATAGGTATAATACTAACTGTGAAGGGTAGGATTATATTGCCTACATCTCATCTACACATGTACAAGAGGAACATCAATATGTGTTTTCATAAAAGTTATCATGCTTTGTACAAACGTCCAGAGTGGGATGTCGCACTAGATATAATGTAAGTGAAAATAAAAATGTGCACACAATTATCTTAGGGGTAAAGGTATCTTACAAAATTGTCCCGACGAAGCCTGAATAGCTTATAGGGTAAAACCAGGTGTTACGTACCTAATGAATTGAAAAACTTACACCGATGTTTTTTGTGATTGATTCCTAAATCTGATTCAACTCTACTTATCAATCACCCTGCATATAAAGGACCCTCACAATCACCCTTGTACGAGGCATTGGTTTTACATCACAAACCTGTTACAAACTTCTCAGATACATCAACACATGATAGATAATAAGACACACTGTCTGAATAAGATATAGAATAAGGAAATACCATCAAGAGAAGGTAATTGTAGTATGTATAACACCTTGTGTGACTGTTACTGTAGGTGGTGCCACAATGACAATATTGGCAGTCAGATGATGACGGCCAGCAGTGAGAAGGTCGTCTGTTACCCACTTAAAGTTAACCGGTTGGTCACGCTGCCTGAGGATTACAGTGAACTCATCAACGAGGTCTCATCTTTCACGTAAGTTTTTTTGTTTTAATAGAGAATATGTTTACGGACCCTTTTCAGATTTTTCCTGTTTTTTACCCATCTAAGATTTCTGTGTCGCCCTATAGGTTGCTGTGGCCGACCAAAGTGCTGCTGGGAAACGATGATGTAGTAACGCAGGTGTGAGAATAATGATCACCAGTTACATTGTATGATTGACAAATCTCAGCCTCTTGAGTTTAGATTTTTTTTGCTGGACTTGACAAGTGTCGCCCTGGACAAAAAATATATACCCTTGGATTGAGCTTGTGATAGATTCTGTTAAATTGACATGAATTTGTGGATCCAATATTGTCACCATTAACAAGTATTTCTGATTACTAGCATAGATATTGACTTACAATTTAATTTTTTGACATCATACTGTGTGACAATTTAATTTTTTGACATACTGTGTGACTTTTCTAAACCAAACCTTGAATAACACAAATAAAAATTTAAAGAACCAGAACAAAAGATTGGTCCCATTGCATTGGTGTTTACTTTGAAGATATGAAGTAATTGGTTCAATGCAGACTCTTTCAAAGCACTTTTAGGTTAACTTTGTTACTGTTGTCTACAGCTGCCCCAAGTCTGATGGTGATGAGAGTCGAGCACCCACTATGTGCCTGGTGTGTGGTAAGATGCTGTGTTCTCAAAGCTATTGCTGTCAGGCTGATGTGGATGGAACCACATGTGGAGCTGCTACAGAACACACAGTTTCATGTGGTGCCGGCATTGGAATATTTCTCAGGTCAGTTTGAATCCTGTCATTGTTCTCAGTATTTGATTTGTCTCTGGTATTTACATTTTATTAATATTTATTAAATATCTTGGATTTTCAAGTTTCTTCCAAGATGGCTGCTGTGGCTTCTGTGTTCAAACTATGTACCTACTTTGTGAGTGTGATACATAGAATATGTTATACTGTATAACAAATATTAAATGTTACATTTCGATATAAGATATTGATTGATCGTAGGAGTAGTTATTGTGACTATGGAACACTCTCTGTTACAATTAACATTTGTTTACTTTGGTATGAAGCAGCAGATCAGCAGAGAACTGAGGCCCTATACAGGTGATACATAAGTTCATGTTGACATGTGTAATTGTTTTTATATACAGGGTGAGAGAATGTCAGATTCTACTTCTGGCAGGTAAATCTAAAGGCTGTTTTGTACCATCTCCTTACCTGGACGTGTATGGGGAAACAGATCAGGGTCTCAGGTACATATTAACAAAAAATATATGCTGAGTAAAATGTTAAACAGTCACATGATGAGAGGCTATGTTTGATGTTTATTATAGGACATTGTGTATCGGTCTGTAAAGTACAGTGTAGGATCTGTATTGGGTGTTTGTATAAAGGTTTATTTCTGCGATGATGCTATTTGTCACAGAGGATAGTGATACATGTAAAATTTCATATATTGAAATGAAGTAATGATAATTAATTTCCAAATCAAACCATAACATTGTAATTGTCATGCAACCTATTTGTCAATCTGAATTTCTCTGAAAATGTCACAAGGTGTTCTAAAGTGACACATTTCAGGTGTGAAAGCACATTCTGAGGATTTGTGGATAAGACAATATTTTATGATATTTTTTCAAAAGACAATTTAGATAATAAAATGTGATTGTAATAATAAGCACTTGACATGTTGTTGTAGGCGTGGGAATCCTCTGACGTTGTGTAGGACGAGTTATAAAGCCCTGGAGAAACTCTGGTTCACCCACTCCATCCCAGAGACTATAGCTCACAACCTGGAATCTCACAGTAACCTCCTCACCATTGACTGGCAGCATCTATGACGGCTGTGATTTAGATATTGGATTGTTTGACTCTCTTCTTCCGTGTACTGCTCAGGACTGTATCGGTGACCTTCAATGAACCAATGCCCACTGAAAATTTGTGATCATTTATATGGTATATTGGTTTGTGGCACCTCGTAACTGCTACGGAATTTCTGAGATGCAGTACGTATACCCTTTAGGGATGTTTGACATTTGACAGCTAATGCCTGCAGTGATAAAAATAAATCACCGGAAGTTTTGCTTATTGATATTTTCGCTAGCGATTTCTACCTCTATTTAAAGGGACAACTGGTACATTTTGTTCTAGACACACACAGTAATCACTGATACTGTATTGAATGTTTTGGTATTGGTAGTCCTTACCTGGTAGTTGGTAGACGGCCAATATTTATACATACCAACTCTGGGTAAATATGCATGTATAGTGGGTGAATAAGCACGAATAAATACATGCCACACAAATTTAAGAGATTAATTAATATAACTGAGTTCTTTTAATTTCTTTTACCACAGTATAGTACACTGTGATATTTAACTATTTATCACACTTCATACCACAATACACCTAGAACAATATCTGTGACTTTGACTATTGTTGATTTATGCAGAAGTCTACTTGATATGATAGGAATTCAATAGAAATTTAGTTTTTGTTTGTTTATTTGCATACCTGCTTTGCCTTGATATATTGATTTCTGGAAATTGTGGAGCATATATGTACACAGCATAATACATATATAGTGCATAACTTTGTATCAGTCCTCTGTGAAGAACTGGTAATGCTGCACGCCTAAAGATACTACATGAAGTGAGCAGTCATTAATTAACGATGTTCGTAAAAAGATTAACTTATTGATTAATTAAAGTTATGTAATATGGGTAATACATATTAGGTGGCATAGTACCTACTTCAGGTATTGTGAGAAATAGGAAAATTGTTCTGTTTATTTCATTGTAATGGAAGCCTATTATTAATTTGTCTTTGGCTTTATAATAATAAATTGGTATCTCTTGGAGTTGAACAGAGTGCTGAGAGGGTGTGCACTTCTGGGGAACTGTGATACGGGCCGGGACATATACCAATATAATAAAGGGACACTTTTGGAGAATATAGGTATGGCCAGGGACCTACACCGAGACAATGGAGGGACCCAAAGGGGAGTAGAGGTACAGGCAGGGACCTACACCCAGACAATGGAGGGACCCTAAGGGGAGAAGAGGTACAGGCAGGGACCAACTCCCAGACAATGGAGGGACCCTAAGGGGAGTAGAGGTACAGGCAGGGACCTACACCCAGACAATTAAGGGACCCTAAGGGGAGTAGAGGTACAGGCAGGGACCAACTCCCAGACAATGGAGGGACCCTAAGGGGGGTAGAGGTACAGGCAGGGAGCTACACCAGACAGTATAGGGTGTAGGGACCTTTTAGGGGAATACAAGTTTGGGCAAGGACCTGCACACAAACTATAGAGGTACACTTTTGGGGAGAAGGAGGGAATACTGTTTTTGGGAGAAGAAGGGAATACTAGGGGGAATAGAGGTACAGGCAGGAACCTATATCCAGGCAATGGAGAGAACCTAATGAGGAATAGAGGGCAGGGACCTACACCCAGACGGGGAATACACAGGCTAGGGTTGTGTACTGTTACAGCACAGATAGACTTGCTGGAATCCACACTGATATTCTATACTGCACTTCAATCTAGAAATAACTTGTAACCCTAGTACCCTGTAATTGGACTATACTTTAAAAGTGTAAAACAACAATAACTATGTAAGTTGTATGAACATGTTATTGCTATCATGACATCATGTGTTACTTTTTGCCAATATTTGTAATTTATCTTTAGTCTAATTTTACGTTTTGCAATTTCGTAGATATCAATATTTGATAAATCAATGATAGTAAATGAAATCAATTATGTGGATTCTGGTAACCTGTCAATATTTGAAAGAACAACCTGGAATGTTTTGCCCCATTTGTACTCCCGAGTTTACCACTAAGATTGTTTTATCTCGAAGACACAATAACTCAGGACTTGTGTGTGTTATACCATGGCACTGTGCAAATTGTGGCCCGAAATTATCACTGAATCTGTTTACTTCTTCTACATATTACTCTGGAATTTGGTGTGTTATGCTTGGTTCTGTGCTAGCTGTGACCACAGACATAACACCCAATAATTTATGAGATTTAGCCCTTCAGTTTATCACAAAGGTCACTATATCTCAGGACATAGATTCATTTTAAGTGCTATTTTGTCTTTACCATAGTGCATTATTTGAGTTACTTGTACATGCCACTAATGTTTGTTATATTCGTGAACTTCATGTACTAAATCATATATATTGGACTTGGGGACTTGAATATTTTTGTTTGTTTGAACTCTTATTTTAGGGTGCTTTGTTTAAGATAGTCTTGATAAGTTAAACAGTTTTGGTTACTGAGAAACTCTACAACAAAAGTAAGTGAAAATGTGGAGTTAATTCCTATGTTAAGGTTAAGCGATTCAGATTCAATGTACAGGTATGTCTGACTGGCCTTAGAGAGCCCTTTTCTTTGTCAATTCAGTTTGGCACAAGAGTGCCCCTGCAGACTCCCAGACCCTCCAGTCCTTTAGACACCAGAGAGCTCTTTGAAAATTATCTTGTTTGTTTTTTAAATGCGTCATCAAAATTCAGATAAGTATTCCCAAATATTTAACGACAGTATGAAAGAAAAACATTCTTTCAAATCCCAGATAGAGTCAGAATGAGTATCACTTAAAGCGGGACTCGGGGATGTTTGAATAAAGGAAAGAAAGAGAAATTCAGTGATAAAATCGCTGGAAAGAAAAGTGCTTTTCTCCACAGTGGTTTGTTTAACAAAAAATGTGCCAAATTAAAAGTTAAATAATATAAAAAAGTAAAGTACATCAAATGACCAAAGAGAATGCCAATCATTGGGTGTAACTCAAAGTGATCCATATAAATAACCTCAATGATGTTCACTGTATTCTGAAACTGCCATTATCCGTCACAGATGTTTATACTTATTTTGTAGTTTCAACCAACTCTCTATATGAACGTAAAACTAGAAGTAGAAACATCTCACTTTTAGGAATATATATACATGTAATAACATTATCAAGCTTGAATTATGTAATCTATAGATGCTTCTTCATTTTGGTTCGGTTTCTTGAAACATCTGAACATTTACCCCCCTATTATTCTGATGTAATCTAAAGCATGTTTGTGACACCAAGGCCTTGTACTACCATGATGTTATAGAGTCAGATCCATGTAACAGGTTAGGTAACTTTCCAGTCAGTGAATGAAAGTGCCCTCTTGGCTATCCTAATACATTTAAAAGCCGAGGAATATGCATGTGTGTATTGAATTTAATTTATTTTTAAAGAAATATTGTTTTAATGATTATGTTGTTAAATGATATGGACAATAAACTGCAGTACAATTTCTCTGACTATTTCTGGTAGGGCGGTGCACACTGTTTTATCACATGCTGTGAAGCCTGTTAGTGTGAATTTTAAATGGGGATGGAAGTGTTGGAGATTGAATTAAGTGCTGGTCCCCACTAGCAGGACTGGAGTAGGCTCTGACTACTAGGATTGAAGCACATGTTAAGGTTGCGTTTGTTTACTTAAAAAGCGTGGGCCTACTATTATTATGTTATATGAGAATACAGTGTTGTAGGTTACATGTGTACATATTAAACTATGCCTTTATTATGGCTTCCTCTCTCTGTGTTTGTTACTCTTTGTTGATGAAAACAGGAACCTGGTGTTCATAGCTTTCTTACATTTATGAGTCCTACATCAAGTTTTCAACCAGAAAAATGTTGTTATATATATATATATATATATGCAATGTAAATGTTTCCACGATTCACATATTAATGTTAATTTCAAATTACTATTGATTATCCAACTTCAACTTTTTAACAAATATATATCTTCCATGTGAAAAATGTGTTAACTTGTCATTAATCGTCTCAGCTACCATAGCAATGCGTGTTAACAGACGAAAATAAACACAATCGTTCATCTGGAAATGCTCTTCACATAGGTAATCTCATCCTGGTCTGTGACGTTTTAACCGCACAATCTTAGGATACCTCATTATAAACCAGTGGATAGTTGTCCGACATTGAAAAGTTCGAAGTAGAAAAATACACCACCACTAAGAGTGGAAATATTTTTTGTCGATGGTTTGGCATTTTTGAACCTAAAACAACAGATTTCCTTCTCAATCTATGAAATAGTTATCTTGCCAAGTTTAAACGTCCCAAATCAAAAGATGTTCAACTTTAGAGTCACGATTTCTTTTCCCCTCCATGATTAATAGGTGCTCTCCTCACAATCGGTAGTCATCCTGTGATGTTTTGAGGTCCAAGGTGGAGAGTCCAGGAATATTCGATCCTACATTTTATAGAGTGCCATTCCGACTTATGGGTAGTCATCCTGTATATTTTTTCAGGTACTAGATGGAAAGATGCTTCGATTAGAGCCAAGAAATGATGGTCACACCAGTTCACAGTGATGTTGACCTCTGGCTTTTCTCTCTAAAATTATCATTTTGAAGTGTCAAGGACTTGTATGAAAATATGTCAGAATAAAGATAATTGTGACCCATGAAATTTGACTCCAAAGTCCGGAATAGTGAATAATCATCAGTTAAGTTTTGATGTCCAAAGTGAAAAAATGCTATTAGTCACGAAACGATTTTCGCCTATTGCCATTGACTTTTTATCGCATTGAAAATTAATGAAACTGAAAAAAAGAGCACAAGCTTCTGTCCGGGAAATGATGTATCTAGATTCTAGGTACAGACGGACGCACATAAAGTTTGCTTCTGGTACGATACCTAAACTTCATTGGAAGGGGAATAAACTACAAAAGGATCAAATGTAGATAGACTTGTTGGAATCCACACTGATATTCTATACTGCACTTCAATCTTGAAATGACTTGTAACACTAGTACCCTGTAATTGGACTATACTTTAAATGTGTTAAAACAACAGTAACTGCACATGTTATTGCTATCATAGCATACCTTGTTATTTTTTGCCAATATTTTTAATTTATCTTTAGTCTAATTTTACGTTTTGCAATTTCATAGATATCAATATTTAATAATTCAAAGATAGTAAATAAATTATGTGGATTCTGGTAACGTGTTAATATTTGAAAGAACAACCTGGAATGTTTTGCCCCATTTGTACTCCTGAGTTAAACACTAAGATTGTTTTATCTTGAAGACACAATAACTCAGGACTTGTGTGTGTTGTACCATGGTACTGTGCAAATTGTGGCCCGAAATTATCACTGAATCTGTTTACGTCTCCCAGATATTACTCAGGAATTTGGTGTGCTAGGCTTGGTTCTGTGCTAGCTGTGACCACAGACATAACACCCAATTATTTATGAGATTTAACCCTTCAGTTTATCACAAAGGTCACTATATCTCAGGACATGGATTCATTTTAATTGCTAGTTAGCTCATCTGGCACTTTGTGCCAGGTGAGCTTATGCCGTGGCGCGGCGTCCGTCGTCCGTCGTCCGTCCGTCCGTCCGTCCGTCCGTCGTCCGTCCATCGTCCGGCGTCAATATTTTACTTTAAACGACTTCTTCTTAATAACCGAAAGGCCTAGGGTGTCAATATTTGGCCAGAAGCAAACTTGGATGAAGGGCTACAAAGTTTGTTCAAATGAATGACCTTCTCCCATATTCAAGGTCACAGGGGTCAAATATGTGAAAAAATTTAAATAACTTCTTCTGAATAACCAAATTGCCCAGGGTGATGATATTTGGTCAGTAGCATGCTGAGATAAAGGACTACAAAGTTTGTTCAAATAAATGACCTTCACCCATATTCAAGGTCACAGGGGTCAAATATGTTTAAAACTTTAAACAACTTCTTCTGTATAACCAAAATGCACAGGGTGATGATATTTGGCCAGTAGCTAGATGAGATGAAGGGCTGCAAAGTTTGTTCAAATGAATGACCTTCACCTATATTCAAGGTCACAGGGGTCAAATATGTTTAAAAACGACCTCTTCTGAATAACCAAAATGCCCAGAGTAATGATATTTGGCCAGTAGCATGCTGAGATAAAGGGCTACAAAGTTTGTTCAAACGAATGACCTTTACCCATATTCAAGGTCACAGGGGTCAAATATGTTTAAAA